AGTTTTACAACAACCATCTGTATAAATAACAATTTTATCATTAGATCTTAAGATTTCTTCCTTTTGTTTCTTTTTTAGTTGATGATTAGTAAAAATTTGAATTGCTGTTTCAGAAGTTAAACATTTTTTATAATAAGCAAAGGGATAGCTGTTCACTTGTTCTTTACATTGTTTCTAAGTATAATAGACACCTGGAGTACAACCAATCAGAACAGCATAGAAATATTTAGACGATTGTGGCATTTTTTAAGAAAAAAAAACTGAAAGTGTGCCTAAGCGGCGAGCATCGGGTGCAGCAATCAGTATAGTAGGATATAAGACATGGGCGCCAAACAAGAGTTAGTATAATAGACGAAATAATTTCAAATATTATACAAGTTGGGATCTTTCTCTTACCTGAACAAAACACTTTAATTTTAAATTAAAAAAAATGAGGTTTATATAGTTTTTTAGATATGATGGTAAAATCACAAAAAAATATGGAAGTTGTTGATTTATACGTATTGGTATTGATTTAATTAGTAAGCAAAATAAATATAGAATGATAATTTGTTGGATGATAATAAAAAGCGGTTACTGGTTTTGTCTAAGGAAACTAGCAACCAAAACTTTATTTAAAAAATAAAAAAATTTTAATGTTAAAAATACGTGAGATGGTTTCCCACCAACTGGCACTCCTCACAGAGAGTGTGAATATGAAGATCTTTGATATCGCTAAAGGTAAGAATGGAGGCTCATGAAACATATTTATTCCCATATTCACACTCTTGATGAGAACAGTAGTAATGGTTGAAGTTGATGCAGTAAGTAAACGAAGCACAGTTGAAACATTCAGATTTCCCATAATTTGGTAGATGGGCCACAGGAAAGAGAAGAAGAACCCCACCACGTGGCGCTTTTCGGAAGAATTTAAATGAACACAAGTGTCGATAATTAAAAGGGAAAAGCTTGCGGCATGACCATGTATCACTGACAAATTTGACCAAATGAAATATTTTCGCGTTTTCACGCTGAATTTTAATTGGTAAGGATAGTTATATGTTTTAGGTTGAAGAAAGGAATTTTCATCACGCTCCTCGGTTATACGGTAGCGTGGAGCGTACATCTTAAAAATTCGCAAATAGAACTCGCGCCATCTTCTGGCTACATATTTTAGTTGCTGAAAATAGTAAAACTCCTCATTCGGAATAAAAATCAGAGGTTTCAAGTAGAGCAGAATCTCGTGAAAAAGCTTAGATAGTAGATTATTAAATTGATTTGGCCTAGTAGAACACATACTCCTGGACGAACGTGGCATCAGTGTCGAGTTTCTTGACAATTTCAACAATCACAAGAATCTCACAATCACGTATATACTCAATGGATACAGAGTATGTGAGGTTTGATGGATGTATAGATGTGCTGGCAAATGATGTAGCCCTGGCACGATTAGAATGTGTTGTTATCAACTGATCAAAAGTCAAAGGATCGAACTCGTTATT